AGATACAAGGAGGTTAATGACAAAAAGGCTAAAAGAATTTAAGAAAAGGAGAAAAGACTTGAGCACATGTTTGCGTCTTACCCCAAGATACATTGACACGAAAACCCTGGATATTTCCTAATCTTTTTAATCACTTGGTCCTTCATTCTTAATTCCCATCTTTTCTATTTTCTTTAGTTGTAAAGTAATTTGTAAGTTGTGGTAAGTTAGTTGTAAGCTAGAGTTAGTTAGATTGTCCTGTGCTTATGTACAGTGGTGATATTCGAAATATTTAACAAAGGGTTCGCTAACAGAAAATTTTTCCTAAGCCCCAAGCCCGAGATATCTCGGGCAAGTTACATAGCGTTAATAAAACTCGGGCGTTTGGACCACCTAAAAATGTTTTGTTTTTTTTTTATTTTTGAAATGTTTTTTAAGTCTCCAAATTTTTTCAAAATTTTTTTCCCGTGCGAAAAAATTTTATCGCGATTTTAATTTACCTTTAATGATGCACGATTCACGCTTAATTGCTTTTAATTTGTTTCTTAATGGGAATTTGATATCAAATTTCATTTATCGTTCTAAAGTTGTAGTTCACAAATTTTCCTTTGGTAAAGTTATTTAAAGCTAGTTTCTGATGTCAAAAACGACCTGCGATCATTTTTTAATTTTTTTAATTAATAGATTTTATTATATATAAGTTTAATTAAGTCGGGGGGTCGGAAATCGCAATAAAAATTTTAATTTTTTAAAAATATACGGCCAGCTAGTATTCACCCTACTATAAACCCATCGCCTCCCGAGACTTCTATGAGAATGTCCCGGGAAATCCAACTCCAGCTGTGTTCAAGGTCATCCAGCTGTTTAAACAATGACTCATCAGCGTCAGATTTCACAGAAAGACAAGACAAAGGAAAATAAAATCTGAAGCTTTTTCTTCAGAATTAACGCATTTCTTTCGTTTTTTCAGTTTTAAGTATTTTTTATGTTTAATTACATTAATATCAAAAATTGCTAGAGTCCCAAGGAGTTAACTGCTTTCCCTATGACTTTTTCTCAAGAAAAAACTTTTCTAAATCATTTATTTTATCATTAGGTATTATTATAATAATAGACAGATGTCATCGTTTCTCGAAATACAATATCTTTTTTATTTCGCTGTCGATAGCCCGACACGTGTTCCGCAGCCATCTTGTATTTTCTCGCGCGCGTGGGATTGTGGGATCTCTCGTATGACTGGACCTAGTTTCAAGAACTCTCTTGAGTCGATCGCGATTAAATCTCATTTCAGTCGAGATTGAAACGGTCGATGGAGGTTGCACCATGGCGAACGGGATATAAGGCTCTAGTTTAGTAGTGTTACAGAGTATAATATGTATTTTTTAAAAGAAACAAAACCACCGAGAAATGTTACGTGTGTTTAACAACGGGTTCGGAAAACTTTGAAAATGTTAACAATGGGTTCGGCCGAACCTGTGCGAACCCGCTGAATATCACCACTGCTTATGTGTCATGAGTTAATAGAAGTTTGATGGTTGGATAAAGAAATGTTCAACGCCTGTGTACCTGAAATAATCTGAGGTCGACAAAAAGTTGGGATCTGAATAAACAAAAGAACTGGTTTGTTGAGAAAAATAAAATATGTTTTGTTACAAATTTTTATCAAAGTTTATTTTATTGTACTATTCTACTCGCAGAATCCAGTACGTCTCATTTATAAACTTCACACTAGAACAACTCCAAAAGAAAATATTACTGTAAACCTAGATAATGCTGTCCTGGATATGACATAGTACACAAAACACACATCCTCAAGCAGCCTTGACTCAAATGGAGCTCTAACATTGTTAGAATGCTAGGTATCAGTGGCACACTTCAAAGTAAAAGAAAAAAACACTAGTAAATTTTCCAAAAATCTTTTCCTAATTAAAATTCATTTTTTTATTTATATTGTGTTGTATGTTCTATTTCTATATTACTTATGAATTAGCAGTCACATAAGGTAGGAATTTTATTGAATTTCACATAAAAAATTTTTTAATCAGTTCAACTCTGCTCCTCCTGAGATTAAATCTTGAGTGTCTCACTACTAGGTTTGACCCTAATGATCTTAACAGGATCATGTTAAAACTGAATCAGACTGCTGGCTGAGCCAGAGATACCTCTTTGAAATACAGAAATGTTTGTAATTACCATGTAAGTCCAGATCGTAAATACAAAAACTACAGAAGGCATGTTTTAAATGATACAACACTTACAGTTGGCACTAGTAGGTAAGTTAGGTCTGAAGCTGTATATCATATCAAATTGTAAGCTTTTAGTGCACACAGTTTGCTTATATTGACATAACAAGATTTCAAATATAATACATGAAAACATAAATTATTATAGAACCTACTACCATACTACAAATACACACTGCAGACAATTTTAGAAAACAACATGCACAAAATGTACTAAGACCAAGCTGTAATCACAAAGAAAACAATCTATTACAACATACCAGACATTATGTTTATTGACAAACTAAAACAAAATCACATACACCATAAACAAACTGTACCAAACACTCACAACAAAGTGCATACACTGTACTTTGTATTAGTAAAAAAAATAGTATATTAGTAATTACTCAGAATTCTTCCACAAAATAAGTTTATGGGGAGAATAGATAAGGTACTTGTATATAACAACAGAAAGGACTATGAACACATTGTACTATTGTATATAACAATAGAACAGGACCAAGGGCACATCATAATTTTATTTAATTAACAGATTTTAGAACTGATTTAACTAAATATTTGTTCATAGTGACAAATAGAAAAATGAATGATGTAGAAGCTTGATTGATCGTTATTGGGGTAACGTAACTGGCAATGCATTTGTAGTAGTGATGTAACGAATATTCGGTTACTATTCGGTATTCGGCCTATTTTTCACTATTCGGCCAAATACTGAATATTTAATCACTATTCGGCCGAACACTGAATACCTAAAATAGGAGTTATAAACAACAAAAACACAGTAAATTAATCTTTTTGTATTTAGAGTTAATGTTATAGAGTTAGTTTTGTTTGTTTATATTTATTTATAACTTGTAACATGCACAAAATAAAAAAGAAAATAATAATAGTCACATGTATTCACAATTTATAATTACAAAGATCAGCACACGTACACGTTTATTGTTGGAGAATCCTCGCACATCTGAGGGTCTGACCCTGCCTATCCTTCTTTTTAAGCACTTGTCTTTGCTTTTCCCTTTCTCTTTCCTCTATCGCTCTAATCCATGTATGCCTGTGCATACATCACAATACACGCTCACGATACTTTCAATTCGTCACTTTTCCATCGTAGAGTTTCCATTTTACAATTACGTGACTCAGCCTGGTGATAACGGAGAAAAGAGACAGATAGGACGTCGATATAAGTCACAGTTATGATTTCACAGATTCGAGACAGCTTGATAGCCCGAACGGCCCCAGGCTTTCGCCTGTGCACGCTAAGTGACTTTCATTACAAGCATTTAGCTTTCCGAAGTCTATGACAACAATTGTTTGGCATTGACGGCTGCGAATTTCGCACCAATAAGCTACTTCGACTCGTTCAATTATGTTATCAACTCAATTTCATATTTATTTTCACATTTTCACTTCGCAGTCCTCTCTCTGTTCTTTCTCCGTTATTTACACGTGTAGGACATTTCATTGTTATCAACATTTGATAGCATCACTTATCACATACTGCCATGATGCTCATGTCTGTCCGCTTCAACTGTCAAGAATTAACGCGATTGGCGAAGCGTAGTGACAGCAGGCCAATAGAGAGCGAGGTCCTTGCCATAATGCAGTTTGCGCGCCAATTTTCGTACGTGCAATAATCGAGCCGAATAGTTTGGCCTAATATTCAGCTATTCGGCCACGTTCCTGGCCGAATATTCGGTATTCGGCCTCAGGCCGAATATACTATTCGTTACAACACTAATTTGTAGTTACTTGTAAGTGAGACCTGCCAACTTGAGTCCTTTTCTGAATCAATTCTTTTCTTCCAGAACTTTATAAATTAAAAATTAAATAAATTTATTTAAAATTACTAAATTTATCAAGAGATGACACCTAACACCTACTTCTAGGCAAAATTACTGAACATTTAATTATTAAGTAGTAGCCATATTACAGTCCAATATAATAAGGCAGATTGTTTGGCCTTAATCAAAAATCAGGTTAATAGATGTTTATATTTGTATAGATTGATCATTCAGTAGTAAGAAACAAACAAATAAATATATTGAATGATTTGGTTCAAACTGATGGTCTTTAGTTTTATATATAATACTGTATTTACTCATGTATTGGCCCCATATTTTTTGCAGATTTTTACACTCTAAAACTGGATGGAGTTATTACACATAAAATTATATTAACATTGCACAAAAGTCACTGCTTTAATATTGTATTAAGAATTAGTAATTTCAAGTTTGAATTAGTAATGCAAGTTTGAAGTTAAGCATGCTATTTGACTTCAAACTTGCAGTCAAACAGCATGCTTGAAGAAATCACCTAGCATCTGATCACAAATTTATTTGTTCTTTACTGGTGATCAAAGATTTATTTACATGAACATAATACACTAATAGTTAAAAATTATCATGCACTGTGTTCACTCACTTCTGCTCTTGATATCAGACTCATCATCTGAAGCATCATCACTTTCTAAATCCATCAGATGGCTGAAGACATGGTCATCTTTGTTGCATTGAAGGAATTGAGAATGCCTGTCATTTCAAGTCTTTGTGACCATGTCTACAGAAATGGCAATCCAAGACTGGAAAATTTAGTGGCAAACTTTGAACAATGAAGCCTACTTATTTCATTTTAGTTTTTGCAATTGAATGATAAAATTATTTACATTAATATATTATAATTTTAATAATTTTGTTAAAAAAAGCTATTTATCAGAATTTTTTAAATATATTCAAACTTTAATTAAGATATTTCATTTTATTAATAAATTTTTAGGTCAGGATATTTTGCTGCAGCAAGTTTTATGTTATTTCAACAATGTAATTTTAATTTTGGCCGAACTCCTTTTAAATTCCCTCCTCAAAATATAAAATATCAAGCCTTTAATGATTTTGCCACATTACTTGAAGAAGAAAAAATTATCCTTCCAAGGTAATGAATTTATTTGAAATGCATAAATTTATATACTGTAAATAGCAAAAATAATTTACATTTTTTTAAAACTATATAAAATATATTTAAATATAAGAAACAAATGAAAATTTTTAATCACTTTTCCAAAATGTAAGTTGAGACATCATTTTAATTTGAGATAAATATTAAAATACTTATTCAATAATTATTTTCCATGAATATTTTATTTAACTTACAATATTTTAAGGTTTTAAATATGTCTGTAAAAATTCCATCTTTATATAATTTATAAAGAATAGGTTTCATTTTATAAAGATTTAATTTTATCTTTATATTTATAATATTTACAAATATTATTTTATATTTTATAAAGAAAATTGCTGAATGTAATAGTATGTCATTGTTTTAACAAAATAAAAATATAGGTTAATTTATTTTTAGAATAAAAGTAAAATTAAATTTCTAAAATAAAAATATTTTTTAAAAAAATGAAAAGAAGAAAAATCATCTTTCAGAAGCTAAACTTCCAACTTTCAGAATCTATACATTGATTGATTGATTGACTTGATTGTAATGCTAATCATTCTCTTCTAATCAGTTGATCCAACAACAATTGATGAATGTGAAATATTATTGCACTAAAAATTTATTTTATTGATAACTTTTTTGTGTATTAGTTTAAAAAATAGAAATTTAAAATCAGTATTAAAAAATTATATTTATTTTCCTACATATTTTCCTTANTGCACGCTAAGTGACTTTCATTACAAGCATTTAGCTTTCCGAAGTCTATGACAACAATTGTTTGGCATTGACGGCTGCGAATTTCGCACCAATAAGCTACTTCGACTCGTTCAATTATGTTATCAACTCAATTTCATATTTATTTTCACATTTTCACTTCGCAGTCCTCTCTCTGTTCTTTCTCCGTTATTTACACGTGTAGGACATTTCATTGTTATCAACATTTGATAGCATCACTTATCACATACTGCCATGATGCTCATGTCTGTCCGCTTCAACTGTCAAGAATTAACGCGATTGGCGAAGCGTAGTGACAGCAGGCCAATAGAGAGCGAGGTCCTTGCCATAATGCAGTTTGCGCGCCAATTTTCGTACGTGCAATAATCGAGCCGAATAGTTTGGCCTAATATTCAGCTATTCGGCCACGTTCCTGGCCGAATATTCGGTATTCGGCCTCAGGCCGAATATACTATTCGTTACAACACTAATTTGTAGTTACTTGTAAGTGAGACCTGCCAACTTGAGTCCTTTTCTGAATCAATTCTTTTCTTCCAGAACTTTATAAATTAAAAATTAAATAAATTTATTTAAAATTACTAAATTTATCAAGAGATGACACCTAACACCTACTTCTAGGCAAAATTACTGAACATTTAATTATTAAGTAGTAGCCATATTACAGTCCAATATAATAAGGCAGATTGTTTGGCCTTAATCAAAAATCAGGTTAATAGATGTTTATATTTGTATAGATTGATCATTCAGTAGTAAGAAACAAACAAATAAATATATTGAATGATTTGGTTCAAACTGATGGTCTTTAGTTTTATATATAATACTGTATTTACTCATGTATTGGCCCCATATTTTTTGCAGATTTTTACACTCTAAAACTGGATGGAGTTATTACACATAAAATTATATTAACATTGCACAAAAGTCACTGCTTTAATATTGTATTAAGAATTAGTAATTTCAAGTTTGAATTAGTAATGCAAGTTTGAAGTTAAGCATGCTATTTGACTTCAAACTTGCAGTCAAACAGCATGCTTGAAGAAATCACCTAGCATCTGATCACAAATTTATTTGTTCTTTACTGGTGATCAAAGATTTATTTACATGAACATAATACACTAATAGTTAAAAATTATCATGCACTGTGTTCACTCACTTCTGCTCTTGATATCAGACTCATCATCTGAAGCATCATCACTTTCTAAATCCATCAGATGGCTGAAGACATGGTCATCTTTGTTGCATTGAAGGAATTGAGAATGCCTGTCATTTCAAGTCTTTGTGACCATGTCTACAGAAATGGCAATCCAAGACTGGAAAATTTAGTGGCAAACTTTGAACAATGAAGCCTACTTATTTCATTTTAGTTTTTGCAATTGAATGATAAAATTATTTACATTAATATATTATAATTTTAATAATTTTGTTAAAAAAAGCTATTTATCAGAATTTTTTAAATATATTCAAACTTTAATTAAGATATTTCATTTTATTAATAAATTTTTAGGTCAGGATATTTTGCTGCAGCAAGTTTTATGTTATTTCAACAATGTAATTTTAATTTTGGCCGAACTCCTTTTAAATTCCCTCCTCAAAATATAAAATATCAAGCCTTTAATGATTTTGCCACATTACTTGAAGAAGAAAAAATTATCCTTCCAAGGTAATGAATTTATTTGAAATGCATAAATTTATATACTGTAAATAGCAAAAATAATTTACATTTTTTTAAAACTATATAAAATATATTTAAATATAAGAAACAAATGAAAATTTTTAATCACTTTTCCAAAATGTAAGTTGAGACATCATTTTAATTTGAGATAAATATTAAAATACTTATTCAATAATTATTTTCCATGAATATTTTATTTAACTTACAATATTTTAAGGTTTTAAATATGTCTGTAAAAATTCCATCTTTATATAATTTATAAAGAATAGGTTTCATTTTATAAAGATTTAATTTTATCTTTATATTTATAATATTTACAAATATTATTTTATATTTTATAAAGAAAATTGCTGAATGTAATAGTATGTCATTGTTTTAACAAAATAAAAATATAGGTTAATTTATTTTTAGAATAAAAGTAAAATTAAATTTCTAAAATAAAAATATTTTTTAAAAAAATGAAAAGAAGAAAAATCATCTTTCAGAAGCTAAACTTCCAACTTTCAGAATCTATACATTGATTGATTGATTGACTTGATTGTAATGCTAATCATTCTCTTCTAATCAGTTGATCCAACAACAATTGATGAATGTGAAATATTATTGCACTAAAAATTTATTTTATTGATAACTTTTTTGTGTATTAGTTTAAAAAATAGAAATTTAAAATCAATATTAAAAAATTATATTTATTTTCCTACATATTTTCCTTAAATTAATTATATAATCTGTCATAAAAAGTGTGGATTATAAAGTCTCATAATTGATATAATTGCTATAATATATATGATTTAATGATATAATTGCTATTGATGAAACTAGAGATTGAATTTTATTTTTCAGTTGCACATGTAAACATTTTCTTATAATCAACATAGTTGAACATGGATTTTTACTTCTTAACATCATTTTTAACTAATAATAATGTAAATGTTAAGATGATTGAAGCATAGAAACAGCAAATCATAATTTAGTGCTTTACTATTTGACCTAATATTTTCTCTTGTATTTAAACTCAAAATGTAATTTAAGTTTGGAAGAAAACATTAAGATCTACATTAATATCACAAAATTTTAAAATATGGAAAAATTTTAAGACCATTTGACAACAACTTATATCATTTCTATTAGTTAATATTTTTATACATAAAGTAAATGTTTGCAGCTGACTTATCATTTCATATTGTTTATTATTGGCAAATGATTTCAAATAATAACTCTTAGCAAGTCTGTTGGATATCTCTATATATTGTAACATGATCAGCATCAATTAAAATCTCATAATAACTCTATATTCTTAAAGTTATATGTTGGTACAATAAAATTAATTTGTAAGAAGTTGCTTATTGTGGGAATTGGTTAAAATTCAATAAATGCATAGATCCATGATTAAAGTGAAATTCAAATCTGTTATTTTCAGTGGCGTGCCGTCATTGGAAGCAGTGGAGGCGGCGCTTCCCTTGTATTTTCTAAAAAATAAATACATATTAATTTTAATTATATGAAAATAATCACACAATATTTTATTATAACTGCATTATGTATCTTATTACAAATTTTTATACTACACGTGAAAAAAAGATAAGATTGCTATTGTATATTCAAATATTAGTAGTGGAGTGGAAGCGCTGTATTGTCAGCATCCAAAAAGGCAGATTCGTGCATGCGCTTTACAGAGCACCAACCTCACCCAGTTTAGCTGGCGGAAGCCTAGGACCTTGGGTGGATGATACATGTATACCACATCCAATTCTATCCAGGACCGGTTCTGGGCTGTTAGCTGTCTGCCCGCTAGATATTTTGCCACCCTCGCCCAATTACATGAATCATCAGTAGATTTATAATCTAACCCAATCGATAAGAATTTATTGGTATGTTTTTATGATAGTTCTGTATAGTTGACAGGAGTTAAAAAAAATCCATTAAAATATTTGATATTTTTATTCCGCTCTCTGATTTTATATAACTCATGGATTTCAATGTTAAACCAGTGATATTACGATTTCGTATATCCCATCTCTAAGGGGATGTAGAAAAAAACACGTACAATTCTTGTATAATGTTAAAAAATTAACTGTTACTTTGGTAGCATCATTTACAACTAAATTTAATGAATGAGAGAGATGCACGAGGTACAGAAAAAGCTCTAGAATTTATTTTCATTAAATTTACGATTTATGTATCCGTTGTCATAAAAATTTGTCTTTCCTCTTTTTTCCCCACGACTACAAATATTTGAGTACAAAGTAACCGGTTTTGACTTATTTCTACTTAAGAAGTAGTTAAATAATTAAGCAATTAGGGAATTGGGGACATAATTTTGGCTCTTTCATCAGGGTTTAAATAAAATCCTAAGGAAAGAGCTGAAATTTTACTTAAACAAAAGCTTAACCGAACCAGTCGCTAGCCGAGTACAGTGGGAACTGATTTCTTCGTAATATTAGATGTAATAAAGACAGACATTTTTCCAGTTCGACGAGAGTGACCGAAAAGTTGTAAATTTTGGAAATTTCCATGGACAACATCTGGTCCTAAAACAAATTAGTTAGAAAACAAACGATGGACAATCTATTAAGTTTAACAT